TCATAATCCATTCAACTTCCCTGTCTAGCGAGGCATAGAGACAGCAAGCTTTCCAGAGAAACAAGACTGCTCAATACTGGCGTGTAACGCTCAGTCGTGCGCATGCAACAGTCATTACAACGGTAGAGTAAACTCTCGCTACTGGACAGAAGAGCATACTGTCTACGATCCAAGCCAGTACAGGCCTTATGGAACCAACGGTTACAGATATCGCACTGCATGCCCCAGGACGAATCTGTAACCGCTTTTAGACACCCCGCTTTACCACACATGACCACAGAGTCGTCGGAAAGAGGACACGGCGAGTTTAAGCAGCGCTTGACAACCATCGTGACGGAGAGGGTTCAGAGGAAGAATTGAATGTAATAGATAAGAAGCAAAGATGTGAACCGGATTACGGTGACAACATAGGCAAGTGACGAGAGCACCAGTCGGAAAGACCAAGTGTGACACGAGTGTATTGAAATGGACTCACCAAGTCACAAACCCGAAATAGACTCCAAGGATATAACAACAGGACCTTTGCGAGAGAGCAGACACCGATACACGGATAACTGAAGATCTAATGATCAGTTCAACCACAGGGAACGGATCCCAAGAATTGAATCAAGTAAATCCGCCATTGACGAATGGAAAACAGCGCACAAAAGGCGAGGGGTAGCTGGATAGCGTCCAGTGGTCAAAAGACAGGTAATGATACAAGGACTCGGTGACAAAAACGGAACAAAGACCAAGTTTACTCGCAGGAACTTTCGCCAAAAGCGTTTCCAACGATATTTCTTGACGCGAAGATCAGCGACAGGATAGATTCCTATAGATCACACGGAGATGGACTGATCAAGTATCCTCCTCAATGTTGACAAAAACAATGTTTCAAAACAAGGTAAATACAGTAAATCCGCCTTTGCCAAATGAACGGCATACAAGAGGCAAGCAGTAGTATCCTTCGCAGTTAGTTTCAATGGCGAAAACGGCAAGAACGCTTTTTCAGAAATTCCAAACCACGGAGTCAGGAGCGCCCGTTAAAGGAATCCGTTTTGATGACAGCGATCAAATAATTGATGGAACATAGTAAAGATTTCACACTCAGTCTCTTTAGAATACGCTTCCAAGCCAAATTTAAAGGTGAAAACTTCCAGACGGAGATTTTTCAAAATTTCAAAACCAGGAATACGGGCAAAAAGGGCCCAGGACTGAACTTGCGGAACGCCACTGTGAACATATTGGCGGAAGGACAGGCTTGAACGCACCCGCACACACATTTCCCTTCCGATTAGGAAAGCTGAAATCCATCGTAAGACTGGTCCAGAAATACCGTAGGACTTCAGCTTATACAAAAGGCGCGAATGTGGAACGGTGTCAAAGGCTTTGGAAAAGTCAATAAACAGCACGTACACTGCCTTCCTGCAAACAACGGCTTCGGTCCAGTGTTGACGAGTTAACAAGTTAATAAGCTAGCAAGTTAACAAGTTAGTAAGGCAAGAACAGCCCTTACGAAAGCCGTGCTGAGAAGGATTAAGCAACTCAAACGCTTTCAAGTTAATACTAGTCCGAGACGGTGCGCGAAATTAAGCGCGGATATCAGAAGGCAAGTGGAGTCGGACAAAGCGGACTGTATTCGATGGGCTACAAGAAGACGCGGACGGATGAAGCGAGACAAGAGCGAAAACGTGAGCGCGGGAACTTACAAGGCGGTCGAGCCGGTTATGAGGAAGATTAAAACAAGAAGAAATAATATACAATCGGTCAACAATTAAATTGTACATGAAAGATGGCAGTTCTTTTTGGGCGCTACAGAGCTCCCTTTAGAAGGCTGAAAATAGAAAGCCCTCGATTTCGAAAATGACTGTTGAATCGAGGTTCGTAAGGCAAAATCGTGCCGAGTAAAAATGAGCGAGCGTTCGTGTCAAATGGGGGTTCGCCGGAAGTCGGAGTCCGCTGTGCCGTTTGTGATTTGTTATTTATTGATTGCAGGGCAGGATTCATTTCGGCGAACCGCTGGAGAGGGCTTGTCGGACTACAGAAAAACTGGCTAGCTCAGAAAAAGGCCGACAGGACCTCAACCTCCGCTGCTGACAAATGGTGCGCTTAAGAGTGGTCTCTCCACCCGCCGCACCCCGCCCCGCGCCAAAACGACCCTCTTCCCATGGAGAAACGACCATCGTCCCACGAAGAAACGACCGTCGTCCACGGAGAAGCGACACTCGTCCCACGGAGAAAAGACCAGCGTTCGCGTCAGCGTCCTCGAAAACATTCCTCGTGTGGGCCAGTCAATCAAAAGGGAGGGTTTGCGGCATGTAGTAACGAGAAAAAAAAACACGCGCAGAAAACGCCAAAAAGAACGAACAAATGATCTGCGTGTTTAAATTTTGGGTTTCTGTATGTTATTAAAGGTAGTTCGGAGGTTTTTGATATTTGTTTGTTTTCAAAACGTTAATCGATAAAACACGGGGCAAATATATACAATATCTACAAAGCTAAACGTATTTACACTCTACATAGTCGGAGAAATGAACCGGCTTACACACCTCCCGACCACGGTGATTGGTCGTGGAAGGTGGCGGGCTAGATCCGGAAGATCTCGGGACGGCTGAAGCTTGTAGACCGAGATCCTGGTCTGGTTGAACTGCACTAGGATTCTGTAAGCTAGTGCGGTGAGTTGTGACGTCGCACGAAGCACTACTAGACGAAGTAAGCGAGGTGGTTTTTCCATAAAGGCGGGTATTAGACGGTCGATGGTGACGACTTCGCGTCGATCACCGCGGTCAGTTGTGTACGTCTTACTCGCACAGTGTAACACTATAAAAGGTCCTATGTACGGCGACTGAAGAGGCTGTCGAACACCGTCTGCGCGAAGAAGGACGTGTGAGCATGTAGACAGTTTCTCAGGCACGTACACTGGTGTCTTGTGCGATCGAGGAGCGGGTGGACACAGCTCACGCATCTGGTGAGCCAATCGATCAGTGTAACTTCCGTAGTCAAAAGAGGAAGTAGAGGCGACTGGTGCTACCAGATGTCCGGGCAACCGCAGCGTGCAACCGTAGACTAACTGCGCTGGTGTGGCGTCGAAATCGGTCTTAACAGTGTTTCTTAATCCTAGGAGGACGAGGAGAAGTGTTTCAGACCATGAAGGATCTGCGTGCGCCCGAAGCGCTGCCTTCAACTGGCGGTGAAAACGCTCCACCATGCCGTTAACGGCCGGATGATACGCCGTCGTCTGAACGTGGCGACAGCCTAAATCCTTAAGCAACGTGGCAAATGTCAACGAGAAATGTGGCCCTCGATCGGTGGTCACGATAGTGGGACAGCCGTATTGAGCTACCCAACGCTCCAGAAAAGCCTTCGCTACTGTTTCCGAAGAGCAGTTAGGTATGGGAATAGCTTCCGGCCACCAAGTGAACCGATCGACACAGGTCAGTAGACATACAGAGTCATTGGAAGATGGCAGAGGACCTACGAAGTCGACGTGCACGTGATGAAAACGTGCGTCTAGCGTCGGAAACGTGCCTAATGGGCTTCTCGTATGCTTGTGCACCTTCGCGCATTGACACAGAAGGCATGCAGCTGCCAAGTACGGACGTCATGATTAACACTGCACTAAACGAATTGTGCGGTTACGAGTTTAATCGATGCACGAACGCTTGGATGAGATAAGCCGTGCAACGTGTCGAATACGGTCTGCCAAAATTCGCGTGCGACGACTGGGCGCGGCGTGCCCAGATAAATCGCAAAGTATAGTGCCGTCAGATGATGTCAACGGAACGGGTCGTATGTCCAATGAGGGAGACCTGCGTAGTAGATCAACCTCAGTGTCGTTGAGTTGCGCTGTGGCCATGACTGCCAAGTCGATAGCACTGCCAGCGTCAGCGGAGATAACTTAGATTCGGGCAAGTGCATCGGCGACGGCGATGTGCACACCTGATACATGCCGTATATCGGTCGTAAACTGAGCGATATAGTCAAGGTGGCGCGACTCTCTAGGAGGTGTCGGTCGGTAGTCGAACCGAGCACGTAGGTCAGGGGTTTGTGGTCGGCGAAGACGACAAAGGAGCGGCCCTCTAGAGCGTGTCGAAAGTGACGTATCGCTAGATGTACGGCTAGCAGTTCTCTACCGAATGTGCTTGTAATGAACACGGATTATTGCAGGAATGAAGGAAGAAGACAAAAGCCGATAAGGAGGCTTTACTCGATTAATAATTCGGACGTATGAGCTATAAAAACAGAAACATGTATTAGAACGGTAAATATGCCAAGGCATGGAATACGGCAAAATCAAAAACACATAACATTCTCCCTCGCTAGGAAATCGTTGCTGAGTAGTTGATGACGTTTGTAAAGATGAGTTCGGCGCAGAGCGGTCCGTGTTAGGAAGGGAAATTGGATAAGAATAACATGCGGGATGCGAATGAAAGAGCTGTCCAAAAAAGCGACGTATAATAAATGAAGAGCAGGATCAAGCTTCACGATTTCTTAGATCGTACGGTCGGGTTCGTTGTTGTTGTTGTAGCAGAGTAGTCTCTCTTCTAGTAGTAGTATCATCAGGAGATGGGTCGGGAGTTGCTGGCAGAGTAGTAGTAGGAACCATAGCATCCGGTGCATTTAGCACGTGGGGCGTCAGAGGGACATCGCTGTCATCGGGAATCCTGCCAGCAGCAGGAGCCAAGTGGCGAGTAGAAACCGTCTCCTCTCTGCCATCGGGAAGTCGGACAAAAGCATAATCTGAGTTGCAATCAAGTAGCTCAACTTCTTCAACCAATGGTTCATATTTCGATTGACGTGAAGCACGCTTCATGAGTACCCGACCAGGCTCGGATAGCCACGTAGGAAGGGATGTGCCAGTAGTTGACTTTCGGTTGAATCGAAATAAGCGCTCTTGTGGAGTTTCGTTGGTGGCTGTGCACAGCAACGATCGGATAGAGTGAAGAGCATCTAAGAGGACCGACTCCCACTGTCCGATATCCAGGTTTTTTGAAGATAGTGAAAGCGTAATAGCGCGCCATAAAGTTCCATTGAGACGCTCAACCTGCCCATTGCCTTGCGGATTATAAGCGGTAGTCCTACTGGTGGATATTCCTTTATCGTGCAGAAACTTTCTTACTTCTTCGGACACAAAGGAAGGACCGCGGTCGGAGTGTATATAAGATGGCATTCCGAACAAAGCAAACAGCTGAGTGAGGCATCCGATCACTGTTGCAGAAGTCATATCAGAGCAGGCAAACGCGAAGGGAAACCGAGAGTATTCGTCAATCACAGTCAGGAGATACTTGTTTCTTGACGTAGATGGAAGTGGTCCTTTGAAATCAATGCTCAACCGTTCAAACGGTTGTGTAGCTTTAACGAGTCGACCAACAGGGGGTCTATAGAACCTAGGTTTGATTTCGGCGCAAGCTTTACATTGTGAGGTCATCGTCCTGACATCGTCCAAGGAAAATGGAAGGTTACGAGAACGGATAAAATGCATCATACGAGAAACACCAGGGTGGCACATTGACTTGTGTAGTTCGTTAAGTTCCGTACCACTCAGAGACGCTGAACAATGAATTCTGGAGAGCGTGTCGGCTGCTTTATTTCCGCTTCCCGGTCTATACATTATATCGAACCGATAACTTGATAGTTCCAAACGCCAACGTTGGATTTTATCATTCTTAATTTTTCCTTTGTTATTGTCACCGTACATGAATGTCACTGATCGCTGGTCAGTTACTATCGTAAATGGATTGCCAAGGAGGAAATGACGCCATTTTCGCACTGCTTCGACTATAGCGCAGGCCTCTTTTTCGACGGCGGAGTGGTGTTTTTCGCTGTGAGATAGCGTTCGGGAGAAGAATGCTACTGGTCTGCCATTTTGATTCAAGGTAGCGGCGATTGCAATGTCAGATGCATCTGTTTCGACTACCAATGGTACACCGGGTGTGATGGTCACGACTGTAGATCGTTCTAATTCTTTTTTGAGTTGTTCGAAACAGTTCATTACCGGTTCGGATAGCGGGAAAGTTTCATTGTGAACCAACGGATAGATTTTATCGGAAAATTTTGGAATCCATTTCGAATACTATGCAAACATTCCTACTAGGCGCTGTTGTGACTTGGAATCATGCGGTGGCATCAACTCGGCCAAAGGTCGTAGTCGCTCCGGGTCAGGTTTGATAATGCCCTTGGATATTTCGTAACCGAGCAAGGTGACTTTATTAACAGCAAAAATGCTTTTTGTGTCGTTAAAAGTGATGTCGCAATTTTTGGCTACCGCCAGGAAGTGTTTAAGATTTGCGTCATGTTCCTCTTTGCTTCTACCGCACACCGTAACGTTGTCAACATATGCAAAGGTATCTGCAATTCCTTCCCGTTTCAGAAAACTGTCGATGGCTCGTTGAAAGCAGGCGACGCCGTTGGTAACACCGAAGGGAATACGGCAAAACTCGTAAAGTTTTCCACCAGCTTCAAAGGCAGTGTATTTACGTTCTCCCTCGTTGATTGGTATTTGATGGTAAGCACTCTTCAAATCTAGAGTACTATACACATCGAAACGAGCGATTTTATCGATGAGGTCATCGATCCTTGGAAGCGGGTAGGCATCAAGATAGGTAAATCGATTGATAGTTTGGCTATAATCCACAACCATACGCTTCTTAGGTCCGCTCGTAGTTACTAACACTTGCGCTCGCCACGGCGACCTCGAAGGCTGGATAATGCCATCTGCATGAAGTCTTTTGATTTCAGATTGAATGAAAGTTTCATCGGATTCGCTATGGCGTCTAGATTTTGTAACAATCGGCTGGCAATTTAGAGCAAGGTGCTCAAACAGGGGGAACGGTTCCACAAGGGCCGCCAATAGGCCACAAATAGTAAAAGGAGGTCTGGACCCATGAAACGATATCTCAATTTTCCGATGATATTTAAGGAAGTTGTGACCAAGTAATACGTCAGAGCAAAGGTTAGATAAAACGGATAGTTTCACATTGGAATAACAGGTGTCTTTGTGTCGAATGGAGCAAATAATATGTCCTTGGGTGAAACTAGAATGAGTAGTGGAAGCCATAACGATGTGCTCCCGAGAGGTTTCGATATGAAATTTGTTAAGTTTTACAACGGAAGCGGAAATGTAGCTTTCAGTGCTCCCAGTATCGATAAGGGCTTGCAGCGGTATGTCATTCACAAAGATGTTAGTAACGGCACTGCAAAGGCTGCCGGGCGCGGCAGCAGACGTCACAGAAGATAAAACCGACATAGAAACGTTCGAGCCGTGATTTGTGCTTGGCCTGAATTTGCAAACGCTCTGGAAATGGCCTTTCTTTGTACACTTTTTACATGTCGCATCTCTGGCGGGACATCTTGATCTAGGATGTCTGGCGTAGCCGCAAGAGAAACACGTTGACTAGGAGGACGCAGCGACAGGTTCTTCTTGAAAAGATAGCTGCGGCTCAGATGGGATTTCAGTTTTCATCGTGGAGTTACAAGTCGTCAGCTGAAAGGAAGCGGCTTGTTTTTGGGCCAAGTCAAGCGATCTAGCCATCTCGAAAGCGGACTGAAAATCGAGTGATTTTTGTTCCAATAATCTCTGCCTGATGAGGTTAGATTGTAGACCGCTGATAAAAGCACCTCTGATAGCTTGATTCCTGTGTTCGTCGGCAGTGACTGGTAGAAAATTACAGTCACTAGCAGCGGAATTTAACTTCTGAATGAATTGGTCTAACGATTCACCGTTCTCTTGCCTGGCAGTGGCTAGGATGTGACGTGCAAAAATTTTGTTTTTGGGTTTTATGAAGATATCTTGTAGCGTTTTGACGGCATCCTCATAAGAAGAGCAGTGAAAAACCACCTCGAACAGGGCAGATGAGATATAATTCATTAACGTTTTGAGCTTGTCCGGCTTCATGGACTCGATCGATTCTAAAAAATTGTTAAAAGTGTAGATCCAATGGGCCCAGCGTTTGCCGGCGTCAGAAGATTGAGGATCCACATCAAAGCGATCTGGGCGTAAGATTCGATCCATGGGATTGTTGTATTAATCGAGTAAATTGTAATGAACACGGATTATTGCAGGAATGAAGGAAGAAGACAAAAGCCGATAAGGAGGCTTTACTCGATTAATAATTCGGACGTATGAGCTATAAAAACAGAAACATGTATTAGAACGGTAAATATGCCAAAGCATGGAATACGGCAAAATCAAAAACACATAACAGTGCTGTAGCGAGATTCCGTAGGTTGTAGGCGTTTGGAGAAAACGCTAATGGCTGCCACGTGCCGGCTACTCGTTGCTGCAAAACAGCGCCGACTGCCACGTCCGAGGCCTCAGTACTCAGGGACAGTGAGGCGACCGGATCGTGATGCGCTATAGAAGCTATGTTGACGATAGCCTCTTACAGCGACTTAAAAGCAGCGCGTGCTGCGGTAGGCAATTTGAATTTCTTGAGTTTCCCTCGGAGAAGGTCCGTGAGGGGTTGCATCAGTGAGGCGCAGTTGGGTATAAACCGTCGGTAAAAGTTGACAAGCACATCAACACGCCTGAGCTGTTTGAAAGAATGAGGCTCGTGGTAGTCGGTGATGGCTTGAATTTCATCCTGCAGTGGCACGACGCCTGCAGAGGAGATTCGATGGCCGAGGTAGTTTATTGAGTCGACACCAAACGAACACTACTCTGCGTTGATCGTCATCCCGTGTTGAGATAAACGATCGAAAAGTGTTCGTACGTGGCGCATGTGCTCTTCCAGTGAAGAGCTCGCGATTAAAATGTCGTCGAGATAAGCGTAAGCGAAGTCTAAGCAGCGACAAACTTGGTCGATGAAGCGCTGAAAATTTTGCGTGGCATTCTTTAGACCAAATGGCATGCGCAAAAACTCGAACAAACCAAATGGAGTCGTCACAGCAGTTTTAGCGATGTCCGCTTCAGCTACCGGAATTTGGTTGTATGCGCGTACCAAGTCAATTTTGCTGAATATATTTTTACCCGCCAGACTGGCGCTGAGATCCACTATATGTGGGATCGGGTAGCCATCAGGCGTGGTAACCGCATTCAAGGTCCGATAGTCGCCGCAAGGACGGCAGTCCCCCATGACCTTCTTCGGGACCATGTGCAGAGGCGACGCCCATGGGCTGTTGGACGGTCTGACAATACCGAGCTGAAGCATGTGGTCGAATTCAGCTCGTGCTGCACGTAGTTTGTCCGGAGCAAGCCATCTTTGTCGTGCGCTAACTAGCTGACCACGCGTGACTATGTGGTGAACGAACCCTGTCGTGACTGGCGGAAGCTCTGCAGCTGGTCGTACCAGTCGCGGGTATTCAGAGCGTATGTTCGCATAATCTGATGATACATCGGGCAATGGCTCTGGGAGACGAGCAAATCACAGCTCCTTTAACGATAAACGGATCCCTTCGCTCAAGGGACTAGCAATACCCTGAAGTTCGCGCAACAACGCCGACGGCCTGCGATCTCCAAGCTTGAGACCACTGAGCTGTTCAAATCGAGTTGGTGCACTGGGCAGTAACTTTTTTAAAAACGCTTCCTCAGAAGGACTGGAACGATAGGAAAATCCCTTGAGCGTTCCTTCTTGAGCAAATCGTTGAGTCAGGAAATGATAAGGTGTTGGAGGTCTTGATAGACCTAAAAGGAAACACCCGAAACACACCCTGATCAACGAATTACTGCCCACGTTCCCTGCACTAGCAGTCCGCGCTGTGTAGGTCACATGAAGTAAGAAAGAGGTAGAAAGAAAATGGAAGATAAAGGGGGAATGAAAGTCATTAAAATGAAGGATAACACCAATGCGTGAAGAGAATGACAGAATAAGAACTAAAAGTTGGAAGATGGATATGGTAAGAAGAAGGGAAAGGTTTCGTGTTGCCACCCAAGAGCGTCTAACTGACGCTCGAAACCCTTAACCGTAGGTTCACTGACTACACTTTCTGGAAGCGTGTTCCAGCGCTCGATAACTCTACACGATTACCGAGTTTCCGCCCTGATCCGGTCAGAACGCGGCTTGTGTAGCTTCATGGGATGACCGCGAAGACAAGGCAACCTAGCCGGACTAAATAGCCAGCTCAAGTCCGGTCCGACCTTTCCTGTTAAAATGCGGTAAGTAAGGATTAGGTCTCCTCGAAGCCGTCGGTAGTGCATTGAATACATACCCAAGCTAAGTAAATGCTCGGGGTACGATTGCCCCTGTAACCCCTCGACCAATTTGGTACCTAATCTCAAAACCCTCTCAAACTCCATTTTGTCCCGAACAAGGCAAGGCGGTAAGCCTGGACGCAGTATTCCAGATGGGGCCGGACGAAAGCTGAGAACAGCCTCACAAATATGTCAGCAGTTAAGACCCCGAAAGAACGGCGTATTAACCACAACATTCTGAAACCCCTACTAGCGGCCTTCTTCCAGTTGTCACCAGAATGCAAAGACAAAGAATGGACGACACCTAGGTCTACCTGACTGGAGACAAGGGGGAGTTCGACCCCACCGAGTACATAGCTCGAAGGCGGGAAAGTTGCTCCTATACGAAGGACGGAACACTTAGCCTGATTTATGGGCAGTAGCCACAAAGTAGACCAGTCCCAGAGTCTGTCCAGTGCATGCTGTATGGCCTCAGAACCCCCAGGAACATTTGCAACATTCCATACCTTAAGGTCATCAGCAAACAATAGGGATAATACCCAAAGCTCACCAAGGAGATCGTTTACGTAGATGGAGAACAGCATCGGTCCAAGGACCGAGCCCTGTGGGACACCGCTAAGGACCGCTTGCTTAAAGGATAAGCTGCGACCCACACGTACACACTGCTCTCTTCTCTGCAAGAACACAGATACCCAGTGAAGGGCGCGGCCAGATACGCCGTAGGACCTCAGCTTTTGTGATAGCCTCAAGTGGAGTACCCTATCAAATGATTTCGAGAAGTCTACGAAAAGCACATCCACCACGTGGCCATTGTTCATTGCCTCGGCCCAAGCTTCACGAGCAACCAACAAATTTGTCAAACACGAAAACCCCTTCCGGAATTCATGTTGTGCACTACTGAGTAGATTAAATCTATTCAGGTGACATTCCAACGAATCTCACACCAGCTTTTCAAGCAGTTTGACCACGACGCTAGTCAGACTGACTGGCCTATAATTGGTTGACAGACTCCTGTCGCCATTTTCGAAGATAGGACAGATGACAGCCTCCTTCCATTCAGAAGGTATTGTACAGCTGTCACATGACGTCTGAGACACTATCGTCAGCGGTCCACTTAGTTCCACCGCCAACTCATGCAAAGCTTCGGGTGAATTGAATCAGGTCCAGCTACTTTGGAAGGGTTCAGTTCTTGCAGCAGTTTAAGGACTTGCGTTTCCACCACAGTAAACTCAGCTAAATAAGAACCGTCAGGTACTCTGGGGACAAGTCCAACGCTAGTCAACGCGGCCTCACGTACAAAAGCCCTTGCATACTGCTTCCCAAGTACACGAGCCTTATCTGAGTCCGTATACGCACGAGTCGCATCGGCCCGCATCAAAGCCGGGAGTACCGAAGTTGAACCACAGCGTCCCTTAACATAAGCGAAGAACTTCGGATTTTCCAAATGTTTGGAACTTCTCTCCGGTGAGCTCGTTCCATTTATTTTTCATATTTTCCGGTTGATTTTTGAATACAGTAGCCTGTTTTTTGCGTCGTTTTTAAGCCGTGGAATCTGTAGACCCTAAGGTAGAATCTCTGCTTAGCGTTTTATCTCTCTCTGTGCCACCTTTTTGGGACATGGATCGTCTTTTGTGGTTCGCTCTTCTTGAGGCCGAGTTTTATAACCACAGAATCACTTCCGACTACACGAAGTATAGCAAACTCCTGTCCTATCTCCCCAAGGCGATATCAATGCAGGTTCGTAACGTTATCATTTCTCAGACCGAAAACCGCTATGAGGCTATCAAGGATGCCACGATTAAGCGTGTTATGCCCTCTGAGAAAGTTCGCCTGCAGCAGCTTTCCAGGGATCTGCAGCTGGGCGATAAACTGCCCTCAACCCTGCTACGAGAGATGCAGCAACTCCTTGGTTCCTCAACTATGGACGAGACATTACTTTGCGAACTATGGCTACAGCAGCTACCGGAAAACACACAAGCGATTCTCGCTACAGTGAGCTCCGTTTCGCTCACTCAACTAGCAGATTTAGCAGATCGAGTTATGGAGCGATCACAGCCACAAGCCGACGCCAGCAATATCAATGCCGTCGCGTCCCAGGGCACTTCTCTCACTGGCTT